CCATCTCTACTAAAGAGGATAATAAGAGCCACGGTAGCGTCTGATCAGCCGCCACTCACTATACAGGAACGTTGTGGGTTTTATCGCCGTACATTATGTTACATAAGCACCTGACATTCCACTCACGGCGATATGTTTTTTTTTTTTTTGCGGCACGGGTCGGCCAAAGCACAAGCGTAATGTGGTTTCAGGACACGGCCGTGTAATTACAAGCGGGCAGAAAGTGATAACAAGGAGCACATAACATGATGAAATTAAGTCGGTTGGCGTTTTCAACTGCACTTGTCTTGTTGAACTTACAGCTTGAGAGTCAGTGGGGAAGATGAAGATGACAGAATGATGAAGATGACAAAAAGCATAAGAGTATTAAACAATGTACGCTGAAAAACCTTTTTGTCTTTTGACATTAAATTTTTTTTTTTTTTTTTTGTGTAAAATGCTTTTTGGTGGTTTCCGTTATCTACTTGTCTATTGTAATGGCATTTGAACAAAAATCAGCTTGCTTAATGCTAACGTGCAATACGAAATGCCATAGACTGGCTAACTATAAACCTTCACACAACTGCTACCTTAACACACCAGGTGCATCTACAAACCGAGCATACGACAACACTCGCCGGCACAACAATCGCAATGGAAACATTTCGTTTAAATCAGTCATACCTCCGATGATGTCACCATTTTAGGTGCTCTGATTGGTTGTGGTCATAGCACAACTTATGATCACGCCGAGCAAAACACACATGTCAGCAATATGGGTACCAAGAGGACAAGGCTCGAATATTCAAAGTATTTAGATTGTGTACAGATGTGCGCCTCTTTCACAGCTAACACCCACGCCCGAGATTAAGTGACAAGCGTCCTCACGTTGACATCATCGCAACTAGAAAATCAGCCAAGGTTGACCATTACCCAAGAGATTTGTTTCGACTTGAACGCCCCTGCCACCTTTCAGTAAAGAAGAAAGCATCTGTATGTGTGTTTTTTTAAGTCACTCATGTACTCTCCTACAAGTATCAGATGCTGACTTCGTTGCACCTTGCTTGCTTGCGGTTATAGATTGCGTCCTCCACCCTCAATAGCTGATTTCCTCCCAGTGAACACTTCCTGTAGCACAAGCGTACAACTGCATGCTCTCTTGTCGTATTCGGTACAAAACCACACTAATTGCAAGACAACCTGGTGACACACTGAGTGTGCCTTCAACTTGATGCCTTCAAAAAACATGAGATACAGTATTTGATGAAGTTGTGCTACATTTTTGGTACGGTACTGCCATAATGCAACATGTGGGAGCCTCAGCTGGTTAATCAAACTCTTAAAGTGGTTTGAGGTGGCAAGTTATGAGAAGGCCGAGCATTGCTGAAATTCCTCCATGCAAGTGTGGAGGATATTTATTGAGTGGATGTCAGATACACATTTATCTTTCTCAAACTTTTGTCATATGATGCAGCCGTCATCCAGCCTCCATAATTCACTGGATTTTTTTTTTTTTTTGGATCAAGTGGGACATTTCCCCTCATTAAGACAACTAATGGTTTAATCCGAACTGACCTGAGATGTTGAACTTTTTCTTATACATACTGAATGGGCGGAGTGGGGCAAAATTTGTCTCGACACATTTTGTCACCTATATTTATCAAAAACAGTTATCAATGCTCCTGACATTTATTTTCCACACTGCATGTCCGGAAACAAAATTCGCAAGGAGGCATGTGACGGTGCCCGCGATCAAGTTAATTAAACTAGAATGATCTTGGAATTCTGTTCCAAACATTAAAAAAAGAACTGACAATCTTGTGACGACAATGATGATTCAATGACCGATTTCATGCAGAAAAAACAACAACAACAACAACAACAACGTGGCAGCGACCGTTCAAGACGTGGAAATGCGGCTCGAGGCTCCACAAACCATCACTGTGTTATTTGACCCTTCAAGGAGACACAACCAAGTGTGACTATTTGACCGGCCGCCTATAAAAAAAGTCAATAGAAGACAATATGAAGCGTGAAAAGAGCAGGTGGCAGTGGTGAAAAGTAACATAGCACAAATGCTCTGTGGTTGTACTGAAGAGGCCCTCTAAAGTCGATGAGTTTGTTCTTAAATACAGTTTATGAGTTCTTTTGTCATCTCCGGAGACAGAAGTGTGACTTTGTGAACTACCACCCATAAAAAAAAAAAAAGTCAATAAAACCAAAAATGAGGCGTGACCAGAGCAGGTGGCATAAAAACAAGTCAATACGTCAAGGAGAATTAAATATATGAGACGAGGTGTGAATGGAGCTGGTGGTACAAACACACGGTCATTAGCGACCGCTTCCCAAATATTCCTTTGCACAACGTTGAGCAATTTACACCGGGGTTAGAGTGCTGAGTCAGACACTAGATCACATGCACTGAAACACCTCTTGGAGCCGTGAGGTTAGAGTTCATACAAAGCCAAAAGCAAAATGTGTGAGCTGAAAACCAATCTGTGCATGGTGCTTTTGAGCCAAGATGGACGGTGCAGATCAATTATTCATGTTTTTTTTTTAAAGTCCAATTCTGAAGTCATGAGGTTAAAAATAGGCCTCCGTGATTGCACTTGAAAGCTTCTCACAACAACTGAAGATGAAAAGTATTTGTTTACATAGATTTATCTGCTAATTTAGATGTCTGATTTTCGATGGATGCTCTTGCACAAAAACCAAAGGAAAATTTGCACTTTACATTTTGGACTGCAGATATGAATGCCTTTCTATATTAACACTGATAGTATTAACGTATATATTAATCTGTTTTTACATCGTATTTGACTTTGAAGTTACTGTGAATGCTTTTTAGATCTATACATACATATAAATGTATTTTTTAGCACACTGTATAAGCATTAATTTACACATCTGAATTATTGCGTTTGAATGGTGCCCAAACCTCCAGAATCATTTTTCTTTTTTCAAGAAGGCACATTTATTTCACAAACTCCAAATAGTTTCAAGATTGGTGCAGCACCAGACTTGTGTTCTAAATCTGTTTTTGACTGTTCTTCTCCAGCATGACTCAGCAAAAAAAAAAAAAAAAATTAATACATGAATAGCTGCGTCACAATTCCAGCAAACACATGCCAGACAGCGGCTTAAGGAAACGTGAAGATTTAAAATGTGGTTTGAAAAAAGAAAAAGAAAAAAAAAAGCGAGAGGCATGACGTACCTTGCTGTCGAGGACACAGCCTCCCTCGGCCGCTGAAGCATCCTTCTCCTCCTCGCTCGCGGTGACGTCCCGCTGCGCTGAGCTTTCTGCTCCCATGGCCGTTCGACGGTGCTTGCGTGGCGGTTTGCCTGGGGAGTCGAGTCGGCACTCCACCCCCACGTCCAGAAAAAAAAAAAGGAAACAAAAAAAACAACAACAGACTGCAAAAAGTGCGAGCTGTGTGCTGAGTAACCGCACCACAGTGTGGTGACCTGCAGGGATGAAGAGGGAGAGACAGACAACTCTTTTACCGCACCCTCCTCCTCCTGCCAGAATCACATGAGGCTCCACGCCTTGCAGCATCACTGAGGTGCTGATGGGAGGATATACTCACTAGCACAATGCAATACAACAATTGGTTTAAGAGGAAAAAGTAAAATACTCTCTTTGGACATTGTACAAAAACATTTGACATGTCATTTAAAATTAATAGACTACTTGCTTTAAAATAGAAAAGGATATCGCAGTTTTAAAGAGCCACTGTTGTGGAGAGAAATATACATATAAAAAAATATATATTCTATGCTGACATTAAGCTATCGGTGGTATTTCTTTCATGTGTTAGCAATAAGCTATCAGCGGTCTTTCTTTATATGTTAGCATAATGCTAACAGGGACTTTCTTTACATGTTAGCATTTAGCTAGCAGGGCCTTTCTTTATGTGTGAGTCATAAACTAAACACCTTGTTTCTTTGTTTTAAATATACAAAGTCTAACTGTTTTGTTTGGTTTGCTGGTAAACTTCGACTGTGAGTGGCTGACTTCACTGCCATTCACAGATTAAATCTCCACTTTGCGCTTCCCCAATCAAAGTCAAAACACTGGCTGAACGACACGGCACAAATTTTGAAAAATTCAGGTCACTTTTATCTCAAGGCACCAAAATGCAATACAGGTGAGTCGCACCATACTGTGTGTAAACAAGTCGTTAACTTTTCGAATGTTGAGTGATTTAAAGCTGATATTTTCCACCACATTGCAAAGCCATGACGGTCGCTCCTTGTCAAGATGTCTGTCATCCACTCAAGAGGGTTCAAAAACACACACGCATACAGAGAATAAGCCATTGCTGCACGACTGTAAGCACATTCCTTGCAGTCACGACTGTAGTTAAGTGTCAGATCCCGCCCAATGCGCACATACACACAATAACAGAGTGTACAGATGTGGAATGCTACCGGTGACAGACAAGTGTAAGCGCACGACTTCCATGCTCACAACATAAGCATCTTATCCTGGAGGAGAAAGAAATCAACGTTAGTGACAAGAGCAAATTGAACCGCCTTTCATCACAGGGGGGATTTTAGGACTCACTCCGAATGGGTGAAAATCTGAGATACAACAAATAAAAACTGTCCAGTTTCATTTAATAATTAAAATCGGATCTGCTAATGCAACAGTTAATGAACTTTGAAACAACCGCTGCTCTAAGTAACACACATGGAGCATCTACACAAAGTGTACAGGAATATCACCAGGAATTATTTTCCCTGCTCTGCGGGAATTATCTTTTCTGTCTCTTCTTCTTCCGCTTATTTACATCGCATCTTTGCCGGTAGACGTAAGGGCTGCCCGGTATTTTGCGGCTCAACTGAAAGTGCACAATTCTGAATTTGGATTCGTCCGTACAAATAAAAACAAAACAAAAACACAAAAAAACAATCACTTAATCCGCGATATAGTTGCGGTTCACTGCACATTTGCAGGAAAGGCACACAGGGTCAAGTAAAAACAAAAACACAATTTCAGAAGTAAATGTATTTCTCAAACTGATGATCACCATGCAATTGAATTGTCATAATGTAGTCACTGACATTCCTTTAGAAATGTATAACCCTTCATGAAATATAACATTCAGTATTACATACATTAGCGATTGATTCCATCGACCATGTGATGGGAGATACCAAGGTTTGTAATTGTGACCCTGTCAAATAATATGTAACAGCATTAAGACTGGAGCGAGATTGACAGTGATTTCAGCATGGTTACAGTGCAACCACTCCAGCAAGAGACAAAAAGTTGCTCCACGTAAAAGGCAACTTGTGCGTCCAAGAGCTATTTGGTTATGTGCCCGAGTCATGTAAAAAGCTCGCAACCGCGATAAAAAGCAGCATTACTTCAAAGACCTGCGAGTAACTATACGAACATGATTCAGAAAAAAAAAAAAAAAAAAAAAACCCTGAAAGTAGAGGTTTGCGAAGATAGGTGAAAAGCATCTGGACCGCGTCATCTTTGGCATATTACACACACACTGCAAAGACAGCATATGAAACACAATTTGCGATATGAGCTGCTGGGAGTAATTGCAGAGCGCTTCCCATCAGTGATGAGTCTTGATGGGACACGCAGTGCGCATCCTGAGGCCTGGGAAAAGAAACAGGATGACGCATTTAAAACCAGCTTGCGTGTTCGTGCGTGTGTGAATGATATTGCATCTCTAAGTCAATTGTCTCCTCTCTTGTGTGCGCGCGGGTGATTCAACGGATTGGAACTGGTCCAGAATCGAGCAGGGACTGATGTAAAGTGAGTGAAGCATGATGGAAAAGATCAATAATGTTCTCGGGGCCCAAAACAACCTTTCAGCTGATGTGTTTTGAGAAGGACAAATGCCTCAACTGACTCACTCATTCAGAGCATTCTTGGTCATCGTGGCCAGTTCCCGTAAGAAGAATGAATACATTTAAGTCCCATTTCTACCAAGTACACAAAAAGTTAGGGAGAACAGGATATTAAAGTAGTTACAGATGTACCATGTTGCATTTGGATTCTTTGTTTCATTCATTTACAGTATGGTGCGATGTGCTATTTAGACAGCGATGACCATCTGTTTGTTTGTTTGTTTGTTTGTTTGTTTGTTTGTTTTTTTTACCAAATGGTGGAAAAACTACCTTGGGGCAGGCACATTTTATGCGTTTAAGGCTCACATTTGAGATTTAAAATAGATGTCAAATGCCAAATAATAAACCGGTGGACCGGATTAGAGACTGTCTGAATTTACCATGCTTAACCCCACTGCAGAAACTGAACAGTATTGACCATCTGGTCGCAAATGAGAGAAATAGGACCTACGTAAAATTAGCAAACATCTTCCTGTTGAGGATCTTGACGTGCTCAAAAGAGACCTGTGATCTCCTCAGTGAGCGGGTCCAGGTCAATATCGTAGAAACAGGGTCGAGTCGGCAGGCCGGGCATGGTGCTCATCTGAATGGAAGACAAGGCATATAAGGACAAAGTCAAGGCCCGGGACCAGATCTGGCATGCCTTTTTGAGGATAACAAGCCAAATACTGCACATCTTCCAACAGTGCAGCTTCATAGCAAGAGTATTAAACTGGCCTGCCAGCAGTCCAGACCTGTCACCCATTGAAAAGAACCTTGAGGATAAGCGGTATGGATAACAAATGGATGGATGGTGTGCAGTGAATTGAATTTGAGATGGGCATGCCAGCAAGAGGATTTTATCAGGGTGTATAAATCAGACCTAAAAAAAAAAAAAGGTTTATCTGGGGTCAGTGCTTTTTGAAAGATATAATAAAAGCACAACTGATGGCAGTAGCTCATCAACAGGCAGCATTACAATTTGGATAATAGCCGTAGCTTTAAATTAGCATTGTCCCCACAACACGCTGTATGCACCAAATGAGCAGCTCCCCAAGACTTTCTATCCAAACTTGCAGGTTCAATGACTATAATTTCGAGTTAACTCCGCACCATAGAGCAGTGTGGAAAATGACAACCTTCACTTTAGGCATCATGAATTCAGCCACTAGTCAATGGTGCCTTTGTCCTTTCAGACTGCTAAAAAACAAAAGAAGAAAAAAAACCACAACCTAATAATTCCTTCAGAATTTGGGAATGTAAAAGATTCTGTCACCAATTAAACCATTTATTGTAACTCACGATGAGGAGCCAGCCGGACATAACAAGGTCATGTGGATTTATTGAATAAGAGGGGAAACATTTTAAGAGGGCAGAATTGAATTCGGGACATGAGAGGAGACACACTGGAACTTTGACTGATATTAACAGTATTACGTTTAGTGCAATCACTTCAAATGAAGCCTATGTGTGAAAGGTAAATAACCACAACATGACACACTTGGCAGACAAGTTGGTGACAGAGCTTTGAAGCTATTTTGGGGCTAACAGGAGCAGTATATTAATGGAGAGGGAACTAAAATGACCCTTCTGTGGTTATTAAAGTTTTGGAGAAAGTGACAGAACGTCACGAACACCCGGTTTTATTTTAATACCCAAAAGTTATTTGGCGGACACTTTTACACAACGCTCCTGATTGGAGACCAAGGTTTGTCTCCTAAAAGTCCTGCCCCCAAAAACCGTTTGACCCAGCGGACAAGAAAACGATTTGGCAGCATTCTTTGCATGCCTGCTTGCCTGTGACCCAGGGGCAAATTTACAAGACCATTAGTGGAGCTCAGGCGGGAAGAAGTGACCGGGCAATTTCCTGCGCGGGGAAAGGAAAGGCGGCACTGCAAGTAAACAAAACCGGGGGGAGTACTTGCGGCAAGCTCCGAGCCCACTTCTGACGACTGAGGTCATCATGACTCTACAAGGCACACATGACTCAACGTGTGAGCGGACTTGATGGAATTCAATAGAGTCGCATTACATCCTTATCTAGTGGTCGCCACTAAGTCATGTAACAATGCGGAAACCACTTCCACCCAAGGGCCTCCCTTTGACACCCGAGTTAGCTGAGTAGCCATGATGTCCGAAGAAAGTACAGATGGCCGCTGCTATTCGCGAAGACTGAAAGTCCACATACTCTTAATTTGACAAAATCTCCCAATTTTTCAAAAAGCACCGATACACATGAAGGGGGAAGCCAAGTCAAATATTTTCTTTACAATCTGTTCCATGCGGCCCAACCAATCTAAACACATTATTCTGATTAATAATCAACGTGTGGGATATGAATCAAGGAAGCAAAATTCACGAAAGGTGACATTACAATTGCTCACGGCTCAGCTGTTTTTCTCAGTTTGGTCATGTGACGCTCGCAAGCTGAGCCGCGATTGGTCTTTACCTGAGCTCTGAATAACTGTGATGTCACTTTCAGTGAATTATTGTTCATTATTATTTTTTCTGTATGTATTATTTTTTTGTGTCATATTTTACTCATTTGGCTTTTTTTTTTTTTTTTACTGTTTGTAAGGCAAGTCAATGGAATGTCTGACTTGTACTATATACCGTACTGTATCATAACTGTCAATTTTTAAAAATGTATTTAAAAAAAAAAAAAATCTGCTGGTTTAAATAAACATTGTTAATCTAGTTGAAGTTTCATGGTCCAGCACTACTTTTTGTGAAGGCCTTGGCAGCCTAAATTGAGGAAAAAGAAAAAAAAAGTGTTGTACAACATGATCATCTCAATTTCGGCCTCCAGTTTGAATCTGAAAAGACGGCACTAACAAGATGGCACTTGGAGACAAGTGTAGCTCTCTGCTTCTCACGTCTGAGAAAAAAACACAGCACAAAGCCAAAGTCGGATACTCCACTTGACCACATAAGTCCCCGTATTATACTAAAAAACACAGCGTGCCTTTGTCTGCGACTATCCCCGAGGGTTTCGGACTCACGCTATTTGTGGAGAATATCCTCTCCAAATCACAGTAGCTCACGAGAGGAATGGGGGGGATTATAGAATTGAATTCCAACGCAAACAAACTTATAAAATCATCAGACAATTACAGAGAGTATCAGACAACCGAAAGGGTGAGTCGGCGGAACGCTGGGGAAAACTTTTTTTTGGCATCAGCAGTTGCTTGGGTTGGATCAACATATGGATTGCACGGCATCGTCGACACTAACGGTAATAAATGTTGAAGAAATTACAGTAAAAGGTGCACTTAAAATGCAGGTCAGCTGTGAAGACGGCAACATTTACTGCGCTCGTGGGCTTTTGCGCCACAAAAAAAATGCGATCAAATATTCCGCTGGACAAAAAAAATTCATTGAGTTCAACTTTGATCTCACGTGGATTCTTTCCTCAAGTCCAGCCTTCAAATATATTGAGTTGTTCGACGTTAACCAAGCGGTGAGCATGAGAAATCTGCTGGAGGAGGAGGGTTTTCGATAAATCTGAGCTGTTTCGGGTTGAATGGTGCCGGGTGGAGGCCACGGGATATGAACTCTTCAGGGTTCCATTGTTCTGCGTTTCACCCCTCCCTCACATTTCAGAAGAATGACATCAGTCCCTTTCCTGATTCTTAACCCTGAAAAGACCCCTTTAACCCTTTTTTCCCAGGACTAAATGTCCCCCTGGTCTCACGGTCAACCCCCACACCACCACCACCAGAACCAGATTGCTCGGATATTTCCCCGTCTAGGAGTCAGTGGGGACTAAACGACCGGGTTCCCACCACTCCTGCGACCAAACAGCTTGTGGCCATGTTTGTGGGCATGAAGACTCTGCAGCAAAAAAGTGACAATATGTCACTTCTGAAGTTATTTTTGGGATGACCGCATTCTGACTACTATTTGAATGTTGGACTCCATTCACCGAGTTTGCGGCGTGCTGTAAAAATGTCATCAAGTGGCTTAAAGCACGCTTGTTTACGGCTGTCCGGGTGAAAATCAATGAGAGACCATGTAAACAAAAACAAAAAACAAAAAAATTGTAATTCTACTCGGTGCCTCTCCTTTCCCACATCCAAGGGCATTTTCCATCCCGTCCCCTTCAAAAGCAGTAGAACGGAAAGGTCAATGGCCTTTGTTTTTCTCGTCTGCTGAAGACAGTCGGGTTTTGTGATCAAAAGATGAATGTCACAACCAAAGTGCCACCAGATATTAAACGTTATTCACTTGAAGGTAACTGAATTAGGTCCATTCCAATGATTTTTGCACACTTGTAAAGTGGGTGGTCTCAAACAAAAAAGGTGCTCTGTCTTGAGTTGTTCAACATTCCTAGACGTAAATACCATGAAATAAAAGCTGGAATTCTCAACTTTTGTGTTATATTTATCTTGACCAGGAGCCAAAATGTCTTCAGTTTACAAGAAAAACAAAGGAACTGACCTTGCCATTCCAATACTTTTAGAAGGGGCTATAAACCTCCACTAAAAATACCGGTTGATAAAACATTGGGTATAAACACACAAATACGAGTCTTTTTCCACACAAATACTTCCTTGAATTATGACCGGGGACGACTATTTTGCCAGATCTCTGTGTTAAAGTGACTTATTGATCTAATAAATAGTTCAAAGAACTTCTATGAGACTGTGTTTTGGTTGCGAGTCACAGTTCAAGGGTCGCCAATGGACCAGTGACTCCACGAGGCCGCGGCAGATGAAAGGCAAGAGCCGATTAGACGCCACATCGAGACACCGCCACCCCTTCCCAGCGTGCCCTGGTGTCTGACACCTCGTCATCGCGCCAATCAAAGCCCGGCTGTCGGGGGCATCGTGGTGAAACGGCAGGATGTGAAATATTGAAGGAACCCGGCTCCCTTCATGCTCAAGCCCCTCACCGACCGAGAGGTTTTCATCTCAGTCAAACTCATTTCACATTGTGGGCCACATACGGACTCAGGAGATGTCAAGTGGGCCGTACCATTAACGTTATACCATACTCTGCTATAAATAACCAAAAATATCATGTCGTTCCTTTGTTTTGGTATCAAGACGCATTGGCGCATTGATACTGTCTGATGCGATGGGTCTGTCTCAGTGACAGACTGAGACTGCTGTTTTCTTCTCTGATCAAAACAATGTTGTCTTCTACTCTGATCAAAAACAATGTGACCCTAGTGGATAATCCATGAAGTGCATTTTATGAAAAATATACATTCCGTGTCTTTAATACATTGTTTCACTTTTAAATGATCCTGCGGGCCTGATCGAACCTCCTTGGGGCCGGTTCCGGCCCTCGGGCCTTATTTTTGACACCACCGTGTTATCAAGTGACAGGGTGCATGAAAGGGTTAAAATTGGATGAAACGGATTCAATCACATTTGTGCATTGCGAAATCGCAATCTCCTACTTACCGTTCCCACGAGGGGATAGATGAAGCCAGCGCCGATGCTGGCGCGAACATCTCGGATTGGCAAAATGAAACCAGTGGGGGCGCCTTTCTTGTCCGGCATGTGGGACAGGGAAAGGTGAGTCTTGGCCATGCAGATTGGTAAAGAACCATAGCCCTTTTTTGGGGGAGGGGGGGGGGGTAAAGAAAATTAGACTACAATAATTGAAATCCATTTCAGACAAATAAGTGCAATCTCACCTGCTGATCATAGTCATTTATTTTGTCCATGGCCTCCGAGGACAGCTCAATGTCATTAGCTCCATACACCTTTTGGGCGATGGTTCGAATCTTCTCCACTATTGGCATCTATCACACCCAGGAAAAACAAAAGAGAGGATGTGGGGAGCAATTTGATTGCATGAATATGCATTCATGGGACAAGAGAGGTAGAAAGCAATGTACAGACTCGAGCCAATTCAAGTTGTGCACAAGGTTTACAGTACTGCATGGTGTTAAAGAAGCATAGTCGAGTTCGACCCACAGGAAAGACATTGTTTCACTTTCAAATTGTCCAAATCCTCGGAATTTTCAGCCTCTCAACAGGAAATACTCTGAGATGTCTGCGGTCTTCCATGAAAGGAGATGGATTATTTTCGTGTTTAATCATAATAAGACATTTGCAAACATCGGCTTGGATTGTGGAAAACAACGATCAACATTTTTTCATCTAATTTCTGACATTGAGGTCAATGACCAACATCAAGTCGAAAACATCGACAAAATAACATATTTGTTAAAAAAAATATATTTTTTAAAATCTGAACTTTTGCAAGATGAACATCACATTATGGTTGGTAATCAAATCAGTCTTTGTATGAAAGTACAGTATTGTACTCCTGTTGTTGCATGCTTGGCGAGCATGCAGATGCATCCTGGAGAATGGGCGGGGACAGGATCATAACAGGATCAGTTAATTGGAGTCACAAATTCCCAGGGACACTAACTCAAAACAGCTGATCCCCAAAACCCCCCCTCCCTTCCTCCTCCCACATCAGTATTCTTCAACTCGGACGCCACCCCTCCCAAAAAAAATAATCCAAACAGGCAGAGATAATTAGAGGTGTAGGCATCTATGGAATGAGAGTGAGTGGGAGCTGCGAAACTTTGCGTGGGAATAAATTGCGACCCTACCACAGTCTCACCTCAATGTCGTAGAGGAACTGGAAGTTGCTGGCTCTGCCGCTGGCAGCTTTCACGGCCTGGGCGAGTTCCACAGCACCTCGCCCTCCCTGCGCCCAGTGGTGGCACGGCACCGCGTCGGACGCCCCGCACTCTTTGGCGATCTTACACACAAGCTCTATCTCAGGCTGGGTGTCTGTCCTGAAAAATTGCAGCGTTCTGTAGCCATGACAACACAACGGCTAAAAAGTAGTGAAGGAATGATTCTTACTTGAAGACATTTAGAGCGACCACGACCGGAACTCCAAACAGATGAGCGATCTCGATCTGCTTTCTCAGGTTGCTGAGGCAGCCGTGTTTAACAAGAGTGAGATTCTGCAAAGAAAAAGAAATAGAAATGATCAATGAAGTGTTGTGAAAGTCGCATGCTTGAGTGCCTATTGTAACACGGCTGGCTGAAGTTGACAAGCAAAGTCATTTCACAAGACCCCCCCCGCCTCCCCCCCTTTTTTTAAACTTACGTTTTCAATCAATAAATAAATGAGATTTTAAAAAATGCTGTTACAAGAAAAAAAAGTTGTAATTTTAAATGGACTAAGCCATATGCATAAGCACATTAGCTCGATCAGCTCAGCAGAAGTGCTGTATAAATATTTAACGATATTGCATGTCTTCTGTATTGCTCAAAATTCACAAAACATTCATCCCCCCCGCCCCCCATACCGAATCTTTTGTTTTACTCTCGAAACAGTTAAAACAAAAATCCGTACTTCCAATGTATGTTCAGAACAAAATGACGATTCGAGAAATGTTTCAACATTATTCTCAGACCAGTGTGAATGAATTTCTCTAACATTATAGCCACCCCACTCATCATATTTTCTTTTCAGTGTGGCCCTAAAAAAATCCTTTGCCCAGCTATTCCACCATCCTATTAATCACATATAACAACATATTTTAGAAATGTTTATGACATGTGGGAGTCTGGCTTAGACTGCCAAGCACATGAACCGCACATTGTTACACCCACGTTTGACCGCAGCGTGTGCACGCGTGCGCAGCCATCCTAGCAGAGCCACACCTGGTCTCATAAAATTCATTTCACCAGCTCTGTTTTGCCCCAACTACTTCTGGTTCTTGTTACAGGCTCGACAATTCAGCGACGCCGCTACATTATTTGGTCAGCTGAATCTGCCCTGGAGCGTGCTTAATCCAAGCCAGATATGAGGATAACACCTCCTCCGCATTACGGGAAAACCACATTCAAAGTTGGTTTCAGCTGTCAGTCAAGTCGCTACTCTTTATCGCATTAGCGGGCAAAATGAATGGATAAGGTGTCAGCGTGAAAATAGGTGGGAGCCAGAAAGAAAGGGCGGATGCAATGAAGTGTCAAGAAATGCAACACCCCTCCCCAAAAAAGGCCAAATTACCGTATTTTCCGCACTATAACACACTTCAGAGTATAAAGCGTACCTTCAATGAATGGCCTATTTTAAACTGTTTTCATATATAGGATGCACCGGATTATAAGGCGCATAGAAAAGAAGTTAAAAAAAGTGGCTGTGGTTGCGTTATGTGTCCACTAGATGGCGGTACACTAAAGGGAATACAATACAGCTTTATTTCTATCGAGCTGCTGCAGCTGTAACAAAGCGCTTTCCAGAATTATTTAAAATACTACGTCCAAGAAATCAGAATATTGTTCCACATACAAGGCGCATCAGATTATAAGGCTCACTGTTGGCTTTTGAGAAAACTGAATGCTTTTGCGTGCGCCTTATAAAGTGGAAACGATCAGATTTCATTTTTTAGTTTTGTGATAGTTGAAATGCAACTCTTGCCACTTGAATTAAAAGCTGTTTTAAACTGTGCATATGTGCAAATGTCACGGGTTCATTAAAAAGAAAGCCAACTTGCAGCTGGGCTGCCAAACTACGTTATAGAAAGAAGCAAATGACTGATTCGTAATTGAAGTCTTGCCTCGCCTAACGAATTTAAGGAGCTTTAATTGGGCTGCAAGCATCCTGACCGCCACGCCTAAATGGAATTAAAAAGTGCCTACAAATACTTTTCTGCTTATTTACTTACGTGTCACTACGAGAGGAGATCGAAAAAAAAAAAAAATGAAAGTGTCTCGTACCTCGTCGATGTATTCTCGTGGAAGCGGCATGCCGGCGGATACCTGAAAACAAAAATAATCACGTGTTGTTGAATTTGGGACACATTTTGAAAGATTTGGGTCAAATCATGACATTAGCCTTTCAAATTTCTCAGAAACGCAATGCGAAATGAAAGGAGCTTATTATATACAGTACCATTAAATCGTGAATAAGACGCACGCGTGTATAACACTTTCCGATCAGTGTGAATAATATGAATGAATAAAGATTCAAAACATACCAAGATATTGTAAATGCTTTTCAATCCAGATTATAAACTCTGCTTTTTTTCCCCCATAAATAGGATTAAGGTCTTACAATATTTTTAAAATCACGTTTTGGAAAATCTTGTTCCTGCACTTTGTGCATTTTTTGTGATTTTGGGAAGCTGTTTTTTTTTCTTTACTTTGCTTTTAAATATCTTTAACTCGGTTTGCTGCTGCTTTGCAATGTCATACTTTAAATTACAATTCGCTTCGTCCGACCGGACAACTGTGGCACAAAAATATAAGTTGGTGTTTGCGTAACTTCAAATGACATGACCGCTAAAAAGGCTGCTGACAAAATACCAGCGGGCAAAATGACACAATGGTGGTTTCTCGGTCTTTATCATGACAGTGCGTTGTCGGGGACTTACGTTGGGGCCTCCGCCGTGCATCTTCAGAGCCCGAACGGTCGCAACTAGCACAACCACATTGGGCCTCAAGCCCGAAGTCCGGCATTTAATGTTGAAGAACTTCTCCATCCCGATGTCCGCTCCAAAGCCAGCTTCGGTCACTGCAATGTGAGGCGCACGATTTTAGCCACAGGAGCTCGTTGTAGACGTTGATCATCTGGCCCACGATCGGGGAAAAATTTGTGGCTTGTGTTTAAAATATATTTTTGTGACAGCAGTCCCAGGGATTTTTTGGATACATCGCATATCGTATGCCTGTGAGTATTGTCCCAACTCCAATTTGATGTATTATTTTACAATGTTTTAATGTGTTTAGAGTGTGCAGGAGAGGGGGAAACTATCGATAAAAATTTGTTTTTTTTTCCCTTGGTGTTTATGTGCGGTGAGTGATGTTTCACTGCGCCGTCTGAAAGAGTCACAGGGCCTCCCTCTGGTAAGGATGCCCTTACCCACCCGCCTTTTGAACCGGGCCAAGGAAAGCAAACATTGCACTCCACCTGGCATAGCGCCCTTGTTGAGATAAGCTTCCCTGGCTCAACATGCATGCACGTGCGCATGACAACGCTTGAACAACACTTGCTTGTTTGAGCCAATCTTGAACTACTACGGAGATGTATTTCAAAGCTACAACCAGTTCAATAGATGCTTGAGCAGGCCACGCCCATTTTCCCATTTATGGACTTTTCTCAGATGAGCTGAAAAGCAGGAAAAGCGGGAAGAGGCACTTTCACTAAAAAATCGTTTCCAAAATCGACTGATGAGCTTTCGGACAGTCAAAGTACAACATGAATCAGCCGCGGTGCTTGGCATCAGTTTGAAAGAAGCATGAATTAAAGGATGAAGAAAATAAGAAAATTGTTGCGTGCAGTTACCATTCGTTGCCTTGATGGGCTGTTTGTGACCACCGGACAAGACGGAAAGCCAATTCATCATGACTCGCTGCGAGTCACAGGAATAGCTGGTTGATCCTCCCACGTACAAGCTAAGTGAATTATCCATCTGGTCACGTCATGTTTTTGAGCCATGAAATGATAAACGGCTCGATTCTTCTGTTACGACGAGGCATCAAAACCCCGCCGACTTTCTAAAAGTCAACAAGTACGGCATTCGGCATGTGGGGCTGTGAGCGTAATGAGCAAACGGCGAACCCAGTTAACATTTCAAATCGAATGAATGTGATCGCGCTGACGTGAATGGGACGCATGTTAGGAAATGCGGCAAGTAAATCGGCGTGATTTGGTTAGGCGGCAGCAGGTTGGTCTTGTGGTGAGCGGGTTAGCAGTCCCTTCAACTTGCATTGCTGCGCTTCCTCCCACCTTCCCAAAAGATGGGCTTTGGGATTCATTGAAGCTTGAATTGAACATAAGTGAGTTGTTTTCGTCTTTGTCGATGTTATGCGCAAGCTCTTGCAAGTTTCCGTATCTGGGTGATGACCTTGAACCATCCCAAGAGACAGGATGGACATGACGGCGGATGACATGCGGAGGGGGGGAAAAAAAGGACAAGCAACTAGCAACATCTACTTCCTGTTAGGCCAGTTTTCCATCATAAAATGTTAGCTTGCTGTATCGCGGTTCATCATTCGCATTCGGTCATTGATTGGATTGGAAGACATTACAGCCGATCACAAAATACATCAAATCTATAGTCGAGGGAAGATCCAGGTCAATACTAAAAATGTAACAAACAACGTGAATGAGGGATTTCAGCTGACAGAGCGACTTCATTTAAGGTCGAGGTGACTTGAAAAATGGTAACACAGAGCCCAATGAAGCGCGGCCATGAATTTGAGCACACACCCCCGGCCCTCATGCGTCCTTCAGCGAGTTCAACAAGAGTTCATTTTTCAACTCAGCTTTACAGGGTTACGCTAAAACAACAACAACAAAAATCTTTACCTTCGTTTTAGTCGTCGTTTGCCATTTGTGAGCATGTTTGCATTTTGTGGCAAAGTAGGTTTGGTGCCTGTCAAAGAACTTTTAAATACCGCAGAAAATCTGGAAAAAAAACTGTAGATTACATATATTTCTAAATTGAAGTGGCAGTTTTTTTAAACTTATTAAAGATAATTTACTCGTATTTAAAAGACACGCGTGGGACATCTGAAAGACGTTCATCTGCACTCCTTGAGTTTAATTTCATTTGAAATTTTGGATTCAATCATTCCATTTGCCTTTCATCTCATTTGACGTCACTGTCCTTGTGCTCCACACGCGTATGAAATGCTATTTTCAAAAAATCATCCATGAAAGAGAACGGCAAATGAATGGGACGCATGTTAGGAAATGCGGCAAGTAAATCGGCGTGATTTGGTTAGGCGGCAGCAGGTTGGTCTTGTGGTGAGCGGGTTAGCAGTCCCTTCAACTTGCATTGCTGCGCTTCCTCCCACCTTCCCAAAAGATGGGCTTTGGGATTCATTGAAGCTTGAATTGAACATAAGTGAGTTGTTTTCGTCTTTGTCGATGTTATGCGCAAGCTCTTGCAAGTTTCCGTATCTGGGTGATGACCTTGAACCATCCCAAGAGACAGGATGGACATGACGGCGGATGACATGCGGAGGGGGGGAAAAAAAGGACAAGCAACTAGCAACATCTACTTCCTGTTAGGCCAGTTTTCCATCATAAAATGTTAGCTTGCTGTATCGCGGTTCATCATTCGCATTCGGTCATTGATTGGATTGGAAGACATTACAGCCGATCACAAAATACATCAAATCTATAGTCGAGGGAAGATCCAGGTCAATACTAAAAATGTAACAAACAACGTGAATGAGGGATTTCAGCTGACAGAGCGACTTCATTTAAGGTCGAGGTGACTTGAAAAATGGTAACACAGAGCCCAATGAAGCGCGGCCATGAATTTGAGCACACACCCCCGGCCCTCATGCGTCCTTCAGCGAGTTCAACAAGAGTTCATTTTTCAACTCAGCTTTACAGGGTTACGCTAAAACAACAACAAAAATCTTTACCTTCGTTTTAGTCGTCGTTTGCCATTTGTGAGCATGTTTGCATTTTGTGGCAAAGTAGGTTTGGTGCCTGTCAAAGAACTTTTAAATACCGCAGAAAATCTGGAAAAAAAACTGTAGATTACATATATTTCTAAATTGAAGTGGCAGTTTTTTTAAACTTATTAAAGATAATTTACTCTTATTTAAAAGACACGCGTGGGACATCTGAAAGACGTTCATCTGCACTCCTTGAGTTTAATTTCATTTGAAATTTTGGATTCAATCATTCCATTTGCCTTTCATCTCATTTGACGTCACTGTCCTTGTGCTCCACACGCGTATGAAATGCTATTTTCAAAAAATCATCCATGAAAGAGAACGGCAAAACAATTCGTCCAAGTAGCCATTTTGACCGACTTCTTGATACAATCGCTCTCTTTTTTTCGGAAGAGTGTTCATCAGTTATGAAGCGGTTTATGACCTGTTTAATGCTTTTGTCACAAGTGTCTTTCACAGTCGGGCAGTTTATGTCGCAATGTCACACTATTGCACACCTCAGCAATTAGCTCAAAGGATTAAAGGAGGTGACTTGGGTAGGGGGGGGATTTTTAAAGTTGAGGCAGCAAGTTGATGGGAGCGGAAGGAAGTGCGTTTGCTCGGGGGTGGGGGGTGAGGGGGGTCATCATGCATCCCAGCTGCCGCTTTGGGGAACGACGGGCGGGAGGTCGAGTTCCTCGCATACCCGAGTGTCGAGTAACAATCCCACAGACAGGTAGGGCTGGATGACGTCTTGCATAATTTTCTCCAGACCCAAATATTGTCTTCAGTAAATGACCGAATGCGACGGCATGAAGTGCAGACGGCGGATGACCTTAAATGAGACTCAAAAGCAGATTTTGTCGGTTTGTCAAGGGCTGCCCTTAATGCAGAACAGATTGACAAACAGATCCCTGTTGATGGCGGCGTTGCATCGCTTTGGATATGAGAGCTGCACAGCTTTTGAGTAGAAAATAAAGATGAGGTTGCCAGTCAAGGATTGTCATGATGTCATTTATCAGGAAATAAATTATTTTCGAAGAAGTTATTCTTTCTTTTGATTGGTTCCGTGCTTAATTCATCATAGAAAACCCATCTTTGGGTCTTTAAAGATCAGTCAAAAAGCTCAAAAACATTCAATAAATGTTTGATTTTATATTTCTGTGAGGAATCCCTTTCGGCAGTTTTGTCTAACCTTGCCATATTTTTCAGTAGATTATCAGAGGGCCTCAGACAATGAAGGGAGGGAACGAGGTTGACTGATGGAAAACAAGTGTGGAAGGTTTTTTTTCTGTTCCTTTTTAATGAGATTTGCAGTGTTTTGAAACCCTACACTGGTTACCTCATAACAGCTGACTGCCCGTGTTCAACGTGTTAAAAGTGTTGTTTACCTGTTATCGCGCACACAACGGAGCTTCGTGTATACATCTAAATCGTTCGACAGTGGCCGCGAAGGCCCGCTAACCCGCATTCCAAACATGTTTCTGCTGCCAAAGTAAACGTAGACAACAAGAACAGATGAATAGATGGATAGATTTAAAAAAATGGAAAGGCTCATGTACGCCTTGGCGTTGAAAGGATTAGCATGGCTTACTCCAAAATTCCTCAGGGTCTTAAGATTATCAATTTACTTCCTTCCTCTTTCCTGTCTGTTTTCACGCAATCTTTCCACCAATTTCCTAGAAAGCTTCACCGGATAGCGATGCCAGAGTAGCAAAGAATGTGGGCCAAAGGCTGCGAGAGTAAGGAAGTAATTCCAAGTGTAAGTCTAGAGTGTATTTTAAAACGTGACTCCTTGTCTCCGTCGTGAGTATGGGTAACACTTGATCTGTATGCGCAGGGGCGGTGTGCACTTGCCCACAAAGCCGTCCCGTCCCACCAACTTCAAAGCCAGCTTGTCTGCGAGGACCGAAGAGTTGCCATGGGCGATGTTGGCGAAGGGCCCGGCGTGGACAAACACGGGTGAACCCTGCAACAATGGCGAGGGGGTACACAAGACACACAAGCGTTTAGTCAGACAGTGTAACCAACAGCAACTCACCCGGCTCCGGTTGAAATTGGAAAGGACCTTTTCTTTCACGCGACATCTTTCGAGGACAATGTTGGGGGATGAGTGGCTCAGTGTGGGCTGGCAGCACATACAGTGCATAAAATGGGGATTAAAAAAAAAAGTTCAAAGGGGCCTGACTAACAAAATGTGCCAGCAGGCTTTTTTTCTCCTCCTGATGAATGAAACAAATGAATGGGAAACCCACAGCGTCAAGGTCATAAAAAGGCCCACGAGAGCATTTGAGCCATCACGTTGCTCCGCTGTAAATTTCAAACAACATTACTGATGCACAACCACCAGTAGGTGGCATCGGTGCTCCATTTTAGGTTTCAAATCAGCAGAGTTTGAGTCCACTGGGAGAAACTGCTGCATTTTAAAAACTTACCTATTCAATTGTTTGGGTTGCTCAGGCCGAAGGAATAAAAAGGAGAGCTTTGGTGTCATCTTGTTGGCATCCTGGTGCCAATGAAGCAATGTTGAAGTTAGTTGAGGAGCTTCATTTTGACGAAAGCCGTGCTTTCCCGTGCCATCTGCATGCTGCACTTACTCATTCGAATGCCCTTCAAGTGGGCAACGAGAGCCAGTACCGTCCATTCCCCCCGTTTGACTGATGAGTGAACTTCATAACCCGGTATAAAAAATAAAAAAAAAATCTATATATCCTTGTATTGTGACTAGGATGTAGAAGGCAAAAACCAGCGATGTAATTTAATGATGACGATGATAATGCTTTGTTGCCAAACTGTCTTGTACCGTAGTGTGCACAATGCATCAAACACGAAGTAATTAAATCAGTTTGCGGCATATGAGGAACATGTGAAAGACAAATGGGGCTAAGCGATCCATTGTTAGACTGCGGGGAGGAAAAAGGAAGGATGGAGGAGGCCACACATGATTTTCGAAACTTTTGTTTGCGTTCCCACCCCGCTGTTAACATCAACGCTTTCACGTCGGAGAAAGAGATCATCCCCTTCTTCACACGTTTTGGACCAACGCTAACAACATTGTGCATTGTTAGATAGCCCCGACGCACGTCACCGCCGTGATTTTGCATCTGAACTTTGAATCGCTCCACTTGACCCTTTCCAACATCCGCGCATGAATGAAAAGTGCCGTAATGGGAAGTGATGAAAGAAAAAGTAGAAAGCTGTCCAACATTCACCGGATGGATGTGAAGATTTTTTTTGGGGGGGTATAAACGGAGGTCGTGAACAAAACAGGAAGTTGGCCCATTTCACATGGCATGTGTGCGTCTAAACAACAACAAAAATCTTTACCTTCGTTTTAGTCGTCGTTTGCCATTTGTGAGCATGTTTGCATTTTGTGGCAAAGTAGGTTTGGTGCCTGTCAAAGAACTTTTAAATACCGCAGAAAATCTGGAAAAAAAACTGTAGATTACATATATTTCTAAATTGAAGTGGCAGTTTTTTTAAACTTATTAAAGATAATTTACTCTTATTTAAAAGACACGCGTGGGACATCTGAAAGACGTTCATCTGCACTCCTTGAGTTTAATTTCATTTGAAATTTTGGATTCAATCATTCCATTTGCCTTTCATCTCATTTGACGTCACTGTCCTTGTGCTCCACACGCGTATGAAATGCTATTTTCAAAAAATCATCCATGAAAGAGAACGGCAAAACAATTCGTCCAAGTAGCCATTTTGACCGACTTCTTGATACAATCGCTCTCTTTTTTTCGGAAGAGTGTTCATCAGTTATGAAGCGGTTTATGACCTGTTTAATGCTTTTGTCACAAGTGTCTTTCACAGTCGGGCAGTTTATGTCGCAATGTCACACTATTGCACACCTCAGCAATTAGCTCAAAGGATTAAAGGAGGTGACTTGGGTAGGGGGGGGATTTTTAAAGTTGAGGCAGCAAGTTGATGGGAGCGGAAGGAAGTGCGTTTGCTCGGGGGTGGGGGGTGAGGGGGGTCATCATGCATCCCAGCTGCCGCTTTGGGGAACGACGGGCGGGAGGTCGAGTTCCTCGCATACCCGAGTGTCGAGTAACAATCCCACAGACAGGTAGGGCTGGATGACGTCTTGCATAATTTTCTCCAGACCCAAATATTGTCTTCAGTAAATGACCGAATGCGACGGCATGAAGTGCAGACGGCGGATGACCTTAAATGAGACTCAAAAGCAGATTTTGTCGGTTTGTCAAGGGCTGCCCTTAATGCAGAACAGATTGACAAACAGATCCCTGTTGATGGCGGCGTTGCATCGCTTTGGATATGAGAGCTGCACAGCTTTTGAGTAGAAAATAAAGATGAGGTTGCCAGTCAAGGATTGTCATGATGTCATTTATCAGGAAATAAATTATTTTCGAAGAAGTTATTCTTTCTTTTGATTGGTTCCGTGCTTAATTCATCATAGAAAACCCATCTTTGGGTCTTTAAAGATCAGTCAAAAAGCTCAAAAACATTCAATAAATGTTTGATTTTATATTTCTGTGAGGAATCCCTTTCGGCAGTTTTGTCTAACCTTGCCATATTTTTCAGTAGATTATCAGAGGGCCTCAGACAATGAAGGGAGGGAACGAGGTTGACTGATGGAAAACAAGTGTGGAAGGTTTTTTTTCTGTTCCTTTTTAATGAGATTTGCAGTGTTTTGAAACCCTACACTGGTTACCTCATAACAGCTGACTGCCCGTGTTCAACGTGTTAAAAGTGTTGTTTACCTGTTATCGCGCACACAACGGAGCTTCGTGTATACATCTAAATCGTTCGACAGTGGCCGCGAAGGCCCGCTAACCCGCATTCCAAACATGTTTCTGCTGCCAAAGTAAACGTAGACAACAAGAACAGATGAATAGATGGATAGATTTAAAAAAATGGAAAGGCTCATGTACGCCTTGGCGTTGAAAGGATTAGCATGGCTTACTCCAAAATTCCTCAGGGTCTTAAGATTATCAATTTACTTCCTTCCTCTTTCCTGTCTGTTTTCACGCAATCTTTCCACCAATTTCCTAGAAAGCTTCACCGGATAGCGATGCCAGAGTAGCAAAGAATGTGGGCCAAAGGCTGCGAGAGTAAGGAAGTAATTCCAAGTGTAAGTCTAGAGTGTATTTTAAAACGTGACTCCTTGTCTCCGTCGTGAGTATGGGTAACACTTGATCTGTATGCGCAGGGGCGGTGTGCACTTGCCCACAAAGCCGTCCCGTCCCACCAACTTCAAAGCCAGCTTGTCTGCGAGGACCGAAGAGTTGCCATGGGCGATGTTGGCGAAGGGCCCGGCGTGGACAAACACGGGTGAACCCTGCAACAATGGCGAGGGGGTACACAAGACACACAAGCGTTTAGTCAGACAGTGTAACCAACAGCAACTCACCCGGCTCCGGTTGAAATTGGAAAGGACCTTTTCTTTCACGCGACATCTTTCGAGGACAATGTTGGGGGATGAGTGGCTCAGTGTGGGCTGGCAGCACATACAGTGCATAAAATGGGGATTAAAAAAAAAAGTTCAAAGGGGCCTGACTAACAAAATGTGCCAGCAGGCTTTTTTTCTCCTCCTGATGAATGAAACAAATGAATGGGAAACCCACAGCGTCAAGGTCATAAAAAGGCCCACGAGAGCATTTGAGCCATCACGTTGCTCCGCTGTAAATTTCAAACAACATTACTGATGCACAACCACCAGTAGGTGGCATCGGTGCTCCATTTTAGGTTTCAAATCAGCAGAGTTTGAGTCCACTGGGAGAAACTGCTGCATTTTAAAAACTTACCTATTCAATTGTTTGGGTTGCTCAGGCCGAAGGAATAAAAAGGAGAGCTTTGGTGTCATCTTGTTGGCATCCTGGTGCCAATGAAGCAATGTTGAAGTTAGTTGAGGAGCTTCATTTTGACGAAAGCCGTGCTTTCCCGTGCCATCTGCATGCTGCACTTACTCATTCGAATGCCCTTCAAGTGGGCAACGAGAGCCAGTACCGTCCATTCCCCCCGTTTGACTGATGAGTGAACTTCATAACCCGGTATAAAAAATAAAAAAAAAATCTATA